TAGGAGCAATATGTTGTTTTAAGAAACATAATATGGCTGTTTTAATTCTTTAAAAGTTACCAGAAGAGCAGCTAGTGTGTATGACACAAATGTTATGCAAAGACACCCTGTGAATTAGGTATTGTTACCATTTGACAGATGGAGAAATTGAGGCAGAAAGAGAGGTTTGTGACTTATCTAGGGTCTCCTAAGAAGTCCTTGGTAAAGCTTGGAATAAATAGAATCCAGAACTTCTCCCTCCCATTCCTGGGTCTTTACCACCAGAGCATGTGTGTTCATATTTGATCATTTTTCATTAGGCATTTCTGAAGCTCTAGTTATTTTAAGATCAAGGCAGAGAGGTCAAGCTATTCAATGTATTTTTGTGCACATAATATTCATATTTTTTGGAGATTCTAAGATTTCATTAAGAAGAAAAATCCTGCTTCTAGCCTTCGGGTTCCAAAGCTACCCTTGAATATGTGACACGAGTAATCACTGCAAGTGCCATATTTGGGTCTGACAGCAACTTCAAACAGTGCCTCCAAGAGGTGTGAACTTTCCTCCCACCCCTTAATTTCACTATGATGTTAAGTCTAGAGCCTATTGATGACACTTCTCATATCTGCATTAACTATTTCATTGCATATCATTTCAGTGGTGAAATACAGAAGGGGGTGGGAGTGAAGGCTGTGGAAGGTGGGACTTGAGAGATGCAGCAGGGAAGGAAATGCAGACATAAGAAAGGAGAGAAACAGAAAGGAGGATGGGGAAGAAAGAGAAACAAAAGGCAGAAATAGCGGTGTTCCTAAAGGTGAGCGTATTTTCCACTTAGTGACTATAAAGTACCAAACAAAAATGAAATTTTTAATTGCAACATCAAAGCCAATTCAACTAATGATCTTTGTGCAAACTTCTCATTGACATCGGGGGAGATTCACTGTGGATGCAGGGAGGGGAGTAGTGAGTCCTACATTTATATCTTGGCTCATGAACCATAATTACAAATGGAATTTGGCCCTTTCCACAGAATGAGTGCCCCTGATCTAGGTACTGTCATGCTTTCATGTCTCAAAATTACAGTGTGTTCTTCATTTCAACCCAAAATATGCATATTTGTATGCAGTGCATTGTTAGCAAACATTTATATTCGTGTCCAAAGGCCCTACTCTGGATCATTGTGCTGGGTGCTGTAGAAACACAGAAAAGAACCAGTGCAATATCATTGCTTTTGAGTTATGGAGTTTGATTCTTCAGTTCTTGCTCAAAGCTCCTAGGGAGTTTTATATGAGTAAGGACTGCAGGATTTAGGCTCGTCTGTTCACTTCAGAACTGAAAGGGCCAGTGCATCTCTTATCAGAGAAATATGGACCTCCAAGGAAAGATTCAGATTGGCCAACGGTTTGAAAATTACTACTACTGAGTGGACTCCTAATGCAGCATTTCAGTCATAGCCTGTTGAGTTCAGAGCTGGGTTTGATACATTTCAGACTCTTAACTAACATTAGCAAAGAGGTTTCCCCTCTCTCTCTCCCCTCCTCCTCCTTTTAAAACATGTAAGGAGCTCATTGAAGAGGCCAGGGATCTGTATCTATAATGTTCTGCGCATTATTAAGAACGGAGAGCAAGAGAATATTCAAACTCAATCTGTTTTATCAGATAAACAATTCTGTAGTTGTGGGTGTAATCCGTTCTCTCCCCAGCCTTTATTATTTAATCCTGTTTCTCTGAACAAGTAAGTGTCCATTGGCAGGGGACTGATGTGTGGCTGTAAATAGGCAGTGTTTGCATTATCCAGTTAATCTCCACTTATTATCATGTATTCAGCAAACAGGGATGCTCCCTCCTGCCTGCCTACTTGTTCACAGGAAGAGATTTTATCTGTGTCAGTTGATTATGGTAAAGGCCAAATGACTCATTGTGCTGTGATATGGTCAGCTCTTTCAGGGTTATCCAAACAGTGGGCTAATCAGCAGGCCAGAGAAATTTTTTAATGCTTTAGATTGCCAGGATCATCAATTTAGTATTCATGTCTCTAGAGCATTGCCTAGGGGTCAGTGTTTAAATCAGACCAGAGGTTTCTAACAATGGAGCATATGAGCGGTGAGCATTTGGTGGCAGTGATACACGCAGTGTTTTGCATTCGATCAGGTTGGGCTAGGGATTCCTCTGAATCCCCTAGAGCACCATTTTTAAAATGTGCTGTGAACTTTGTGATATATTGAGAACCTAAGACATAGTGTTATAATCTGATACAAGTAATCACTCATAGTTCAAAACGAATGTTGGGTCTACGGAGGGTAATAGTCTTGTTTTTGTTCTGAAATCTTTATATAACCAGTGTTGGTGTCTGGAATTATCCTTATTGTACCTTTCCTTATAAATGGCTCTTCTGTGCTTCCATCTGGGGATCATATCTGAGCTCCAACCTTTCCTGATTACTATTCTGATAGCCTCACCCTGCCACAGGCCACACTCCCCCTGGGCTAATCAGTGGTTTTGTGCTGTGTGTTTCTGAGGAGTCTACCTCTCTTTGTTTTAAACTGAAGTGAAGCTCGGCAAATAGATCTTATTTTAATAACTTTTATAGGTAGTTCAGATTCCTCAAACCATGCTCGGTACAAACAAGTTAGCGAATTTTCCCTGCTCTTTCCCCACCCTGCTGCTGCTAAAGCAATGGAGGACAGCCACTGCTGTTGATGCTACATTTCCCTTGCAAAGTCACAGCAGCTGCTTGATCCACCCCATCAGCATGGCCAAAGACACTATTGCTTTACCTCCCTGTCCCTAGGGTGACCAGACGGCAAATGTGAAAAATTGGGCGGGGGTAGGAGGAGGCTATATAAGAAAAAGACCCAAAATTGGAACTGTCCCTGTAAAATCGGGACATCTGGTCACCCTACCTGTCCCTGAGGTTGTTGATCACTCGGGCAGCACTGATTCTGACCAGCATAACAAAACTAAATTAGTCTTGAACTCAGTCAGAGTTGCTCCAATATTGGGTAGTAGTGAGTGTTATGCAGCATCTGACTGCCCCCTCTGCCAGTTCTCCATCCCACTGCAAAGAAAACCAGTTGTGTCGCTCCCCTTGTCCAGCCAGGTAAAACTTACACTCCAGAGTGTGGTATGCAGTGGTGTTGTAGCTGTGTCAGTCCCAGGATATTAGAGAGACAAGGTGGATGAGGTAACATCTTCTATTGGACCAACTTCTGGTGATGAGAGAGAGAGAAGCTTTCGAGCTACACAGAGCCCAGACCTGAAGTAGCTCGAAAGCTTGTCTCTCACCAACAGAAGATATTACCTCACCCACCTTGTCACACCAGAGTGTGCACACTTGATGCAGCTGGTGAATATATATTAGCACAATGGCTTTAGGGGAGAATCAAATATACTAATTCTGATCCTTTCTTCCAAGTTGTTTGTGTGTGGGTGGGAGCTTACATCCCAGTCGTGTATGCTTTTCCACTTGGCACTGCTGATTTGACTTCTCTGAGTAAGAAATCAGGTGACTACTGTGGCATAATAGGTTGTTTTGATTACTAATGTCCTGGCTTTTTGCAGTCACACAGATCAATTCTTTATTGCAGATTTGTGCTTTGCTGTAGGACAGAGGTGGGCAAACTACGGCCTGCAGGCCACATCCGGCCCGCATGACCTTCCTGCCCGGCCCCTGAGCTCCTGGCCTGGGAGGCTAGCCCCTGTCCCCGGTCCCTCCCACACTGTGGTCCGTGTGTCGTCTCCCTGTCCCCCTCCTTCCCCCCCGCAGCTTCAGCGGGCCATGCTGCCAGCATAGTGTATTAAGCTGCTCCGCGTAGGAATGTGCTACTGGTAGCAGTTATGGAGAGCAATTTACTACACTACACCCGCGCAACGCTCTGGGCCGTGCAGCTGCAGTGCCGCCAGCCACCGGTGCGCCGCGGTAAGGGGGCAGGGAGCGGGGGGGTTGGATAGAGGGCAGGGGAGTTTGGGGTGGTGGTCGGGGACGGGGGTGTGGATAGGGGTCGGGGTGGTCAGAGGGCAGGGAATGGGGCATTGGGGGGCAATCAGGGGCAGGGGTTCCGGGGGTGGTCAGGGGACAGGAAGCGGGGATGGGTGGGTGGATGGGGCAGGGGGGCTGTCGGGGTGAGAAGCGGGGGGGGGCGGATGGGGGCAGAGGCACGGGCACAGCCTGGCACAACCTCCCCTAACCAGCCCTCCATACAATTTCCGAAACCCGATGTGGCCCTCAGGCCAAAAAGTTTGCCCGCCCCTGCTGTAGGGCATTTAATATCAATCATATGAACTGAAAATATGCCGAGGAATGAGTGAAGGACCCTACATCAGGACTTTCAGCTACTATATGAGGGTTGTGCAGCTGTGGGGGGTGGAGAATGTGGCCAGTTTTCAAAACCTTGCTTGGGAAGTGCATATATGGACCCCTTCACTGGTAGATGTGCTATGCACTCATTTCCCGGGCTGCGTTTCTGAAAATGAACCTTTGCAGTTTGGTAAAATTGGGGGTGAGGGAGGGGGGCTGTTCGCTTAGAAGCTTGAAAAAGAGCTACTGCTTCTGAAATTTGCAAGCTGCTTGTGTTGGTGGTTGTTGCATTATACCTTTGGCATTTAGAGATATTTGAATAATATGCAAAAACAATGAGGAGTACTTGTGGCACCTTAGAGACTAACAGATTTATTTGGGCATAAGCTTTTGTGGGCTAAAGCCCACTTCATGAAGTCTCTAAGGTGTCACAAGTACGCCTCATTGTTTTTGCTGATATACACTAACATGGCGACCACTTTGAATAATATGGGAATTTGAGAGAGTAATTATGAATTTTTAAAGTATTCAGCTACATAGATTGGGGGGAAAAATGAATAGCTGCTTCTCCCAAAGGAGAATTGTCTTTATCAACAGGGTGTTATAAATGACGCACATCTTTCTAGTATAATAAACAGGGTGTTTAAGGCTTTGTTGTTTAAATTCTGATCACTGCATCAGCTAGATGCAGAACCAGCTAATATTAATCTTTCTTTCCATTAAGATAATCATGGCCAGCCCATTGATGAAGGAATATTGCATCAAGGTGTGAGATCACCCTCTGGGTAGTGTTCTTGTAGAGCTTGTTATCTTGGCCTCTGGGAAGAGGGCTCAATATGTGATGCCTTTTCTAGCACCCTTTTTGGCTGTCAATGAGATGTGTTTTCAGAAGAAGCTAATGTTCTCCCTCCATGGGTACAGCTGGAATGTGATCATTAGCAAGAGATGGGAGGAATATGTATAAATAAGAAGAGCGAAGCAGTGTTGATTTCCACACCGTGATGGGGACAGCGAATGTGGTTGCTTCACCTTATTTGGAGGAGATATGAAAACTGTATATAGGATTACTTTGCAAAATTAACAGGAGTATTTGTGGCACCTTAGAGACTAACAAATTTATTAGAGCATAAGCTTTCGTGGGCTACAGCCCACTTCATCGGATGCATAGAATGGAACATATAGTAAGAATATGTATATAGACACACACAGAAAGGGTGTGTGTGTGTGTGTGTCTATATATATATATATATATTCTTACTATATGTTCCATTCTATGCATCCGATGAAGTGGGCTGTAGCCCACGAAAGCTTATGCTCTAATAAATTTGTTAGTCTCTGTCATAAATATAAAGGGAAGGGTAATCACCTTTCTGTATATAGTGCTATAAAATCACTCCTGGCCAGAGGCAACATCCTGTTACCTGTAAAGGGTTAAGAAGCTCCGCTAACTTGGGTGGCAGCTGACCCAAAGGACCAATAAGGGGACAAGATACTTTCAAATCTTGGGGGAGAGGGAGAGGCTTTTGTTTACCTGGTTGTTCTCTCTTGAGACTTAGAGAGGCCAGACAGAAATCCATCTTCTCTAACCCATCCTAATCCAAGTCTCCAATATTGCAACCAGTATAGGTAAGCCAGGCAAGGCAGATTAGTTTATCTTTTGTTTTATGTGAATTTTCCCTGTGTTAAGAGGGAGGCTTATTCCTGTTTTCTGTAACTTTAAGGTTTTGCCCAGAAAGAGATCCTCTGTGTTTTGAATCTGAATACCCTGTAAAGTATTTTTCCATCCTGATTTTACAGAGATGATTTTTACCTTTCTTTTTTTTTTAATAAAACCCGTCTTTTAAGAACCTGACTGATTTGTCCATTGTTTCAAGATCCAGGGGTTTGGGTCTTTGATGATTTTGTAACCAATTGGTTAGGATATTATTCTCAAGCCTCCCCAGGAAAGAGGGTGTGTAGGGCTTGGGAGGATATTTTGGGGGGGAAGACGTCTCCAAGTGGCCTCTTTCCCTGTTCTTTGTTTAAAACGCTTGGTGGTGGCAGCATAGGGTTCAAGGACAAGGCAAAGTTTGTACCTTGGGGAAGTTTTTAACCTAAGCTGGTAAGAATAAGTTTAGGGGGTCTTTCATGCAGGTCCCCACATCTGTACCCTAGAGTTCAGAGTGGGGAGGGAACCCTGACAGTCTCTAAGGTGTCAAAGTACTCCTGTTCTTTCTGCGGATACAGACTAACACGGCTGCTACTCTGAAACCTGTCATTTTGCAAAATTAAGATGTCAAAATAGCTGTTGGTACAAGTTGTTTCTTGGGCTATGTATATTATACATAGATTTTTAAAGGTACGGATTTAAAGGATGGGATTTTGAAAGGTATCTAGATGCCTAACTCCACTGGTTTAAATGGGAATTAGGTACATAAATACCTTTTAAAAACTGGCCTGAAGTGAGTTATGAGAACAAGTATGGGCTTTGTACTCCTAAGGCATTTTTAAAGGTGGGGGCCTAGTGAGAATTTCAAAAGCACCTAGGGGCCTAAGTCCCACTGACTCCAATGGGAGTTAGGACCATAGATGCTTTCAAATATCCACAAAGGTGCCTAAATACCTTTTTAAAAATCTGGCCTTTGAACCTGGTGGGTGTGTGTGTGGGGGTGTGTGTGTGTATTGAGTTGAACATGAAATAAATAATTGTCAACAATGAAGAAAAATGTGTAAAACACTTCTCTTCCTCCAAATATTAATGTGTGGAACATAAGGTAGAATCAGTGTATCCATCTGCTTTCTCAGAGCCTTGGACCATAGATGACTATATTAGTGTCCAAGGTTAGTGGTCACTGTGTTTTAGTTAGTTATTACATATAACTTGGAAGTGTGGGAGGGGAGAAGCTGTTAGATATCACTTGGCAGGGATCAAATGATTGAGCATGATCCTATCTGTTTTTGTTTTGTAGATTCATCCAGTTGTTGAGCAAGTCTTCTCTTTTTCTGAAGTTCCAAAGGCCTTTCTGAGGCTAGAAGGAGGACATGCACGAGGGAAAACAGTGATCAATGTAATTAATAAAAAATAACATCTACAGCCATTCTGTTTTGCTTGCAGTCTGTTCTTGCTGATAAATGGCATTTGGACGTGGTAGATTTGAAGGTGTAGTTTACTATTTCCTTGCAAGTCTCTCAAAAATGGTGTCCTAAGGTTAAAACACTCCTAAAAGTTTTATAGGCCATGAATCTTTAAGTGTAGTAAGTACTAAAAGTTAGTTTTTAAAAACAAGTTATTGAATGTAAAATTCCTAATATAAAAAATTGGTAGGGTCCTTCCTACACCAGTTTTGTGGTTTGTTAAATTTATGAAACAGAGGAAAGGCTAATGCCTTTTCTAGGTTGGCTAGATTATAGCCATGTGTGAAGAGGATTTGTAATTCTTCATATGGACACTCATATCCATCATTCTGATGGCAGTAGCTAAGTTGACAGCCTCATTAATTTTTAGTTCCATGGAGCAGTTTGTGCTATAGGCATGTTTCAAGTAAGTTCCAAAATGTCTTGTGAATGATGACTTTGCCCCAAAGGAAGCATTGGCTGTGTTGAGTTGTAAACAAGTGCTGAACTTCAATCTACAGTTTCTTGATCTGTAGAGTAACAGCAACAGAAGTCATTACTACAGACTAAACTCTTCAGGGACCTTGTCTTTGTACGTGTTTACACAGCAACTAGCACAAAACCACGTAATGCTACTGCAATATAAAATAATAATTAGGGTTATCAAGCAATTAAAAAAATTAATCATGCTGTTAAATAGAATACCATTTATTTAAATATTTTTGCATGTTTTCTATATTTTCAGATACATTGTAACTGAAATCCGTGTACAGTGATCAGTATATTTTGATTACAAATATTTGCACTGTAAAAAAAAAGTTTCAATTGCCTAAGTACCGTAGTGTAATCTCTTATCATGAAAATTCTACTTTGTAAGTTCAACTATGTACAAAAAAATTCAGAAATAAAACAATGTAAAACTTTAAAGCCTACAAATCCACTCAGTCCTACTTCTTGTTCAGCCAATCGCACAGACAAACCAGTGTGTTTACATTTGCAGGAGATAATGCTGCCCGCTTCTTGTTTACAGTGGCACCTGAAAGTGAGAACAGGCATTCGCATGGCATTGTTGTAGTTGGCAGTGCAAGATATTTATATGCCAGATGCGCTCCTTCATGCTTCAGCCACCATTCCAGGTGTGTCTATGCTGATGATGGGTTCTGCTCAATAATGATACAAAGTAGTGCAGACCGACACATGTTCATTTCCATCATCTGAGTCAGATGCCACCAGCAGAAGGTTGATTTTTCTTCTTTGGTGATTTGGGTTCAGGTTCTGTAGTTTCTGCATCAAAGTGTTGCTCTTTTTAAGACTTTTGAAAGCATGCTCCAGACCTTGTCCCTCTCAGATTTTGGAAGGTGCTTCAGATTCTTAAACTTTGGGTGGAGTGCTGTAGCTGTTTTTAGAAATCTCACATTGGTACCATTTTTGCATTTTGTCAAATCTGTAGTAAAAGTGTTCTTAAAATGAACATGTGCTGGGTCATCATCCAAGACTGCTATAACATGCAATATATGGCAGAATGTGGGTAAAACCATGGAGCCAGAGACATACAATTTTCCCCCAAGGAGTTCAGTCACAAATTTAATTAATGCATTTTTTTAACAAGCGTCATCAGCATGGAAGCATGTCCTTTGGGATGGAGGCTGAAACATGAAGGGACATAGAATCAGAATCTTAGAATATCAGGGTTGGAAGGGACCTCAGGAGGTCATCTAGTCCAACCCCCTGCTCAAAGTAGGACCAATCCCCAATTAAATCATCCCAGCCAGGGCTTTGTCAAGCCTGACCTTAAAAACTTCTAAGGAAGGAGATTCTACCACCTACCTAAGTAACGCATTCCAAAGTGTTTCACCACCCTCCTAGTGAAAAAGTTTTTCCTAATAGCCAACCTAAACCTCCCCCACTGCAACTTGAGACCATTCCTCCTTGTCCTGTCATCTTCTACCACTGAGAATAGTCTAGAACCATCCTCTTTGGAACTACCTCTCAGGTAGTTGAAAGCAGCTATCAAATCCCCCCTCATTCTTCTCTTCTGCAGACTAAACAATGCCAGTTCCCTCAGCCTTTCCTCATAAGTCGTGTTCCAGACCCCTAATCATTTTTGTTGCCCTTCGCTGGACTCTCTCCAATTTTTCCACATCCTTCTTGTAGTGTGGGGCCCAAAACTGGACACAGTACTCCAGATGAGGCCTCACCAGTGTCGAATAGAGGGGAATGATCACGTCCCTCGATCTGCTGGCTATGCCCCTACTTCTACATCCCAAAATGCCATTGGCCTTCTTGGCAACAAGGGCACACTGTTGACTCATCCAGCTTCTCGTCGACTGTCACCCCTAGGTCCTTTTCCGCAGACCTGCTGCCGAGCCATTCGGTCCCTAGTCTGTAGCGGTGCATTGGATTCTTCCGTCCTAAGTGCATGAATGGCATGTAAATATCTTCCTATGCCAGCTACGAAAATGCCATGTGAACATCTGTTCTCACTTTCTGGTGACATTGTAAATAAGAGGGCAGCATTATCTCCCATAAATGTAAACAAACGTGTTTGGCTGAATGAGTGGCTGAACAAGAAGTAGGACTGAGTAGATTTGTAAGCTCTAAAGTGTTACATTGTTTTGTTTGAGTGCAGTTATGTAACAAAAAAAATCTACATTTATAAGTTGCACTTTCACAATAGTGTGAGGTGAATTGAAATACTATTTTTTTATAGTGCAAATATTTAATCTAAAACAAGTGATCACTGAATACTTTGTGTTGTGTTGTAATTGAGATCAATATTTGAAAATGTAGAAAAACATCCAAAAATATTTAATACACTTCAACTGATATTCTGTTTAACAGTGTGATTAAAACTGTGATTAATTTTGAGTTAATTGCATAAGTTAACTGCGATCAATCACCAACCCTAAAAACCCCCCAAAGAAATAGTATTTTTCAGTATTTCACTTCATACAAGTACTGTAGTGCACTCTTTTTATTGTGAAAATGCAACTTACGAATGTAACTTTTTTACATAACTGCTTTCAAAAACAAAACAATGTAAAACTTTAGACCTACTTCTTCTTCAGCCAATCGCACAGACAAACAAGTTTGTTTACATTTATGGGAGATAATGCTATTTATCAAAATATAAAGTGAGCAGTGTACACTTTATATTCTATGTTGTAATTGAAATCAATATATTTGGAAATGTAGAAAACATCCAAAAATATTTAAATAAATGGTATTCTATTATTTAACAGTGGTTAAAGCTGTGACTTTTTTAATGTCAGGATTAACTGGCTTTTTTTTTTTTTTAATCCTTTGACAGCTCTAGTTAAGACATACCATCTAGTTATGTTTGTAATAACGAATGGGGCATATAACGGTCTAGAAACCAGAGAAACCGGGGTAGTGTGTTGAGGAAAATGGGGGTATTCAACTTAATTCAGAACCTGCATCAAGTTCTGCACATTATTTGAAACCTTTGCTTATGATGCTGCTGTATCAATTTATAACCTGCACAGTAGCCCTTATTCCTCTCATTTGCCAGACACAGTTTAATTAACCAGAAGTTATAATCAAAGAAACACAAATATTTAATTAGTTTCCACTCCCTGGGATTGTTAAAAATTATCTTGCCCATAAAATTTTCATTCCAGTAGGTTTCTCTTAATTGATAGTGCAGGCTTATCATTATATGCATATTCACCATCTTATGGTAATTCACCTTTAATTGCCCCTTAACATGAAGTCTTGGGTTTAGGCATTTAAGTCCCACTTTTAGGCTCCACCGTGGTCCACAAAACTCCCAGTGAACCATAAGGGTAGGTCTGCACTGTGATAAAAGACCTGCAGCTCAGCCATAGCTCTCAGAGCTCAGGCCTGCACATCCCCATGGCAATAGTTTAGCCCTCAGCCCCCGTCAGCTGTCCCAGGCTCTGAGACTTGGTACGGTAGTTTTGTGTGTGTTGTTTTTTTTTTTTTAAAATCAGTGTACTCAGAGGAGCCTTTAGCAGCACCTAAACTTCTGCCTCACCTAGGTGTTCGGATGCCTGTCTCCAACCTGAGCCCACAAGTGAGCCCTGACCTCAGGGGAAGATAGGTATTTGCCTGTGTATTGTGTGCACAGAGTCTGATCAGGTAGTTGTGCTCACAGGCTCAGGTCCCATTCAAAATAGGGTCACTGAAGAGGGGGTCCCTTCAACCTGGAAAAGGAAGGGGATGATGGAAACACCTACCTCATAACTTTAGCCCAGTGGCCACTCACCTGGGATGGGGGAGACCCAGGTTCTATTTCTTCCCCCCCACCTGAGGGGAGAAAGGATTTGAAATTGGGTCTCCCACACCCCTGCACATGGGCAGCAGATGAACCCCTGCTTTGGGGAGGCTAGTCTGCTGCCCCCCCCCTTCTACTTAAGGCCCTGACCCCCCCACCCCCAGAGCCACAACCCCTGCCCCAACAGGAGAAGCCCTGAGGGGCCCCGCTGCAACAGAGGAGCTCCGACCCACCTGCCCCAGCCACATCAGGCCAAGATGCCAACCCCCCAGCCGAGTTACTGCCCCCACAGCCAGCACCGGGCTGGCCCCAGCAGCCCCAATGCTGGGCCAAGCCACCAGCCCCCCCACCCCTGAAGGCCTTCCCCAGGCTAAGTCACTGACCCCCACCACCAATGCCAGCCCCCCACACCCTCAAGCACCCAGCCAAGTCTCCTCACTCCCCTGCCTGTCTCTGGCTCTCTGCATCCCTTCTCACTCCCACATCCCCCAGGAGTGAAGGAGACATGGCAGGAGCAGGGGCCTTCCCTGGCCCACTATACCCTCCACCCATGCCCCTGCAGGAGAGTGCTTTAACCTCTGGGCTAATGGATATTCTGAAGTACGGCTCTCCCAGTCTCTGCTGTTTAAGTTGTCCCACTGTGGATGAACACTGAAGGAGTGATCACGGGGCGGGAGGGTGGCTGCTACTTTATAACTATAGTTCCCTCTCACTTATAGGTATTGGGCCAGAGTGTGTGAAAGCAGGCACCACCAAGTCCCGCTCTGTAATTTTGCGAGGCAAGCACCTAACTTAATTCCTGCGGGAAAGTATTTAAGAGTCGAAGCCATCTGACTCCAGGCAAGTAGTTCCCATTTGTGGATTGCTAAACAGGGAGAGGTGCTCCCTGCAGCCTGGACTTAGGTGCCTACCTGCATGAGAGGAAAGGCTTAGGACACACACTTCTCATGAGCATCTCCTCTGATCCTGCCTCCTGGGCTGACTTTGTGGATTGCAGCCTAAGGCTCATTTCTCCCCCATCTTTAAATCAGCTAGGCTCCCTATACACTCAGTCTAAGGATCTCAGTGTTGTTACTTTGATGTTCTAAAGTGCTTAAGTCCTTTTGTAGATCCAGGGCTCAATGCAGAGATTATTGGTTTAACCTGAAACAAATCAAACAGTACTTGAGAGATAAAACAAGAACTTAATACCCTGTGTAGAAGTGATCTTAGTGTAGTTCTTGTGTCACAGAAGCAGCAACTATCTCCACCCCTTTTACATTCCTTGTAGGCAATCCATGGTAGAAAAATTAAGGACCGAAGATGACAACAGCCTGGGTGATCTCTTCACAACCGATTTGAAGCACAATGCATGAGAAGCAGGCAGCACTGCACCTGTACAGACGAGCTTCACTATAGACATGTAAACAGGGAACTTTGCAGACAGTTTCACTAAATCAGATTTACCTGAATAAAATTTGTGAAGTACATATAACATACTGTGTATACAATAAAAAAAGCACAGAAAAATTTGCCAGAATTACCACCTTGGAGCCAGAAGTAGCACTCTTTAAAAAGGTTTCAGAGTAGCAGCCGCGTTAGTCTGTATTTGCAAAAAGAAAAGGAGTACTTGTGGCACCTTAGCGACTAACAAATTTATTTGAGCATAAGCTTTCGTGAGCTACAGAATAAAAGCATGTTACAACTGTACAATTTTAAAAGAGTAAGATGTATTTGAATGTTGATTATTGCAGTTGTCTGTACAGGAAGTGAAAAAAACAACCACACACACTTAAAATTAGATTGAAGGCACTGACTTTCCCACAGGTAAAGATAAAAAGTAAAGCATCAGTATCCTGCAAGGCAACAAACAGTAAAGAAGAAAGTTACATTCTAATAGACTTACTATGGAAGCCAACATCCAATGAGTGCCCCCTGAGGCTGCTAGGAGTGGTTTGTAATAACACTGGTCTAGGCAAGAATGAAATACAGCAGCATGGTACAAGAGTTTACATTCACTGTTCTGCCAGTGACATAAAATAAAACCACAATTTTAACATTGGGCCAAGGGAGACAGTAAACCATTAATGCACAAGAACAACCTGCTACAAGTTATTTCACATGCCGCTCTTTGCTAAGGTGTGGTTCCTATCCTAAAGTATGCATGGAACTTCAAACTTGCTTGACTGGTAATGTATGTAAGTTCTTGTATGGCACTTATTGTGGTATGAGTGTCTCCAAGTTTTCTTTCCTACCTCAACAATGAGCTTTTGTCCTAGACTCCAGTGCATTGCTGCACTAGGGTTGCTGTGACAGCCTGGCTTCGCCCGCCCACTTCCCGGATCCCAATAGGATTAGTTTCCTGTAGCCATCTGGTCCGACCCTGTCACATAGGGTTATAAGAATGTGTTTAGTGCTTAGACTTTACTGAATACTTGTGAGTTGCTCTCTGCATTAGTCTGACATAACATCTGTATTCCACATTGTAAGGTACTATTTGAGCAGTTGTATTGTGAGCCTCTGTGACCGTGTAAATCATCAGACTGGAGAGAGACGGTAACTAGTGTGAAGTGCTGATCTCCAGCAGAAGGTGTTACGTCCTGCCCAACAGGGAAGGCGCATTGACACCAGACAGACCATTGTGGGACATTAAAGAGGATAAAAGACCATTGACCTTGCCCTCCTCAACTTCACCCAAGATGTTTGGAGCATACGAAGATCATAGTGGGTTCAAACGTAATTAACTATGGCAAGTGGCAGACAGTAGCTGGGACAACGTCTGGAGAGTTTTGGAACCACTGACTAGTGATGCTTTTTTAAAATAAAGGAGAGAGAAGTATTTTAAATTACATTCTGAGAGTAGTAATGACTGCACTTAATGGAGCTACTTCTAGGTTTGAAGTATTTGCCCCAAGCAGAGAAGTAGATAATACTTTTAATTTGTAAAGAGTAAGGCAGCCTTTTAAAGTAGAAGCAGACAGAAAATGGGCAAATTCTTCATAGCTGACACACCCTTCTTGCTGCCCAACACTTTTGCTAACAAACATCTATAGATTTGTATTCTCTGTCTTTCTAATAGAAAAACTAGAAAAATAGATTGCTTATTAAAATACAGGCTTTAAAATAACAACTTACTAAAATACATCTGCACATACCTTGTAGTCATTTTTTGGTAAAAATTCTTCTAAACAAATTTCAGTAGACTGAAGTTCTTTTTTGTACTAATGCTTATTTACATGTTAATTTTCAGGAGATGAATACTCCAATATACTACTACAAAGATCAATCTATTTTGCATACCCCCCCCCCATATATGTTGCACTTCAATCTTTTGTGATGTTTTATCTAATTATCTCTCAGTATAATAGTTAAAACTTTTTTCCTGATAAAAACGTCTGTAGAAATAATTTAAAATTACACTCACTTAATATAGTCCGGATTAGCAATTCATCACTGACATGAAATTGCTGCTTGGAAGGAGGACCTTAACATTTAAAAAATTAGTAACAAACAAACAGTCGGGAGCAGTTACAAAAATTGGTCAACATCGTTGTGGGCTAACATCCAATAAAACACACAAACTTATAGAATTAATGCTTAGAGCTGAATCTACCCTGTCGCTTGTTCTTACAATTATTGTGAAGGCAGGATGGAGATTCTCTCTCTTCTTCAAAGACGGCCACATTAGTTGGATTGTCCAGAGTGTTGTTATAATTTCTCTCAGATGGACGGAACTGTCTGGATTTACAGAACTAATGCTTCCCAACACTGGGTTGGCTTCTGTTCATTGACCGCATTAACAACAACATGATTTTGATCGTATTGCGTGCCCCCTAAAAGAAATTTAAAAAGAAAATAAAATGTGAAAAATCACGAACTGTTGGATTGAGACTGCGTCAGTGTTATAAATGTTTCAGAGCCATTCTAAGGATACATGGCAAAGACACGTAAATCACATGCACCTTTTTAAATAGAGGTACAGAAGAGGAGTATATTCTCATCTTCTGTACTTCCCTCATTCCTACACTGCCTCCTCACTCCCTAAGGAACTGCAGAAGAGTGAACCTATCTGCCTCCCCACTTGGTGCCTGAGTCGTGCACCTCCTGCTCCCGCTGTTGTGTGAAGGAGAGAAAGTAGGACAAGGATGTCAGGTGAGGCTGACTGGATCAGGACTCTGACCTTCCAATAATCAAATGCTGCCTCACAATCCCCATGTTCTAGCCATCCAGTGATTAACTGGCCTCCAAAGGCTAGCTAAGGAGTAACTCAGTATAAAAGAAATGATGCTGGCCAGCAGAACATATAGCAGTTTCAGCATGGGCCACAATAGCCTTTATGTTGTCAGTATTCATAAATAACCACAGCTATTTGCTTTCAGGTGGTGCACTCATACTATAATGCATTAAAGAATGGCCATCCTGGGTCAGACGAAAGGGTCCATCTAGCCCAGTATCCTGTCTTCCGCCAGTGGTCAATCCCAGGTGCCCCAGAGGGAACAGGTAATCCTCAAGTGATTCAACACTATTCATATGGGTGCATATATTGTATGTCCCCACCTCCACCTCTCCCACTCTAACTGCAAATTGCAACACAAACCATGCCCTTACATTTGCACTATTTCAATGACACCTGACATTATTTTCTCTCTCCTGAAGTCAGTAAATGGACAGATGTAGTTGTCTATTACATCGATGGTCACGAACACAGATGATCAGTCTAGAGCTCCCACTGCTGGGAAGCCTCAGCCTCTAGAGCAAGGACATTTCTCATCCAAAACATGAAATCAGTCAGTGACTAACACAGCACCCAAACCTGTATTTCTTCATGCTGTATTCAGATCATGCCACAGACCTGTCACTAGTTGGTGTTTGAGTGGACTGATAGCCAATGAAGAAAATGTTCATTCACTCAAGAAAAGTCTATTCTTCCTATTCACAAAGATGTATTCTTATAGTGAAACAAATGCCTTCAGGCAGTTGCAGGTCAATTTCCATCTCCCTAGCAAGCTCCACATATTCCTGGCCCTATGCTTTCCACAGCAGCGCAATGTGGAGAGAAGCCCAAGCAAGTGGAAAGAGGTGGAGCAAAGAGCAGGTATCTAAAAGTACTCTCCCCTCTGCAATCACTTTGTGGTAGCTCAGTTCTGTGTGACAGGGCTGTCATCCATTGCTCACGGTGGCATGTTGCCTTCTTAGAGAAGCAGAACTTACGACAGCAGAAGAACAAGCTTCTTATGGAGCAGCAGCAATTTCCCCCCACCCCAGCTAGGATGGATGGTCTGGGACCAGCCAAAAGGTAGTACAGCAGATATCAGACTTGTACTGCCAGTGCAAAGGGAGACCCGAGCAGAGGGGAAGTGTGGTAAGGTTGAGATCAGTGAAAGGGCTCTGTTAGTGTGATGTTATTTTGTTGAGACATAGGATGATCTACAAAAAAAAAAAAAAAATCTTGGCCATTGGAAATAACTAAGAGATAACAAAGAAGAATTAACTAAGCAATGCTTCTAAAGGACAGTTCATAAGTAATCATCATGGTAAAATATTCTTAAATTTATGCATGCTGGAATGTAACTGTGTATGAGACACTACCTGAAATAGAAGGAAAGCCAGATATTTAAAAGTATAAAAGTGTATGGTTATTAGGGGCAAATATCACTGCCCTGCATTATTTCAGTACACCCACAAGATGGCAACATTATCACACATTTTGAACAAGTAAGTTTATTTGCTAAAGGACGTGTTCGGGCTGAAAAATAGATGGTTGATTATTTGGCTTTAACATTGGTCCAGCGATGTGGAAGGACTTGAAACAGTTCTTATTTAATTGCCTGGACCAGCTACACTAAACCTATTCATTTTTCAGATACACTATATATAAAATAAGTCCTTCCACAAAGCACATGTACATCGTGTAACAACAAATACTTGGGGAAGAGACAAGGTGGGTGAGCTTGTCTCGCTCACCAACAGAAGTTGGTCCAAGAAAACATATTACACCTCATCCCCCTTGTCTCTCGAACATCTGGGACTGACACAGCTACAACACCACTGCCTATAACAATTACTTGTAACTTCACCTTTCATAGGTAGAAAGGGAAAGATGATCCCCTTATAAACAACATTCCAGAGTCAACATACCACCTCCTTGGTCAAATGTCTGAGAAAAGAGACAGGCTTTGCACGGTGCCTTGCAGGCCGGTATAATCTGGCTCTGTCCAGACCCCGCATGGAAGCAATTCCCAGAGTAGATGATCCCCACCCCAGAACTCCCTGCCACTGGAGACCGTGAGCTCAAGCACCTCAACCAACTTCACTTGAGTTCCAGCAGAACATCACGATACATTTTTTTGTCGTCTTTTGTTGGTGGTCTTGGGACCAATTCTCATTCAGTGTAATTCCACTGCAGTTTCTCCTGATTTAAACCAGCATGGGAGGCTACTTTACTCAGGTTACATTTTATTAATATTTACAATTGTCAGAGTTGCAGTTATGTCTTGCAGTTAAACTAAAAAGCTGAGTATACCTCCTCACATTTCATCTTAGAACTTTTTAAAAATAAATGTTTAGGATCTCTGCCCTTCTACTTTTGAGCTTGGCAGTTCAAATCAGAAAGAGAACAAACAGCTAGATATTGTATTTTCTAATGCGAGCTAGCCAGTTAGATCTCTGTCTCTCTAGATCTATATTTTCCCTTTCTGAGCTATTGTATTCTGCAATTAGGCAGTTTTCAAGTATTCACTCAAAGTACATTACATGCTTTTTAAAATGTTTAATTGAAGATGAGCCAGTATACTAATCTCTTTTGTCTTTGTCTAGTGGCTCAATTAAGATTGAAAATATTCTGCACAGTGTAGTTATTAAATAAAGGCACTTCCTGAACTAGACACGTTGATAAACTTGTAATTAATAATCACACTTTTCCTTGTGGGGAACAAAAATTCCTCCATCTGGCTGTAGCACAGGGGTTCTCAAACTGGGGGGGTCGGGACCCTTCAGGGGGGTTGCGAGGTTATTACATGGGGGGTCGTGAGCTGTCAGCCTCCACCTCAAACCCTGCTTCACCTCCAGCATTTATAATGGTGTTAAATATATTAAAAAGTGTTTTTAATGTATAAAGGGGGGGGTGGCACTTAGAGGCTTCCTATGTGAAAGGGGTCACCAGTACAAAAGTTTGAGAACCACTACTGTAAAAGGATTAGGGATTACACCGTTAACATTGTGATTAATTTTAGTACTCATGGAGGAAAAAGAACGGATAGTGCTCGTCTGTGACAGGAACTATATAGGCCTATAGGAACTATAAACATTGCGTAACCCTGTCCTCACATTTCTGCCAACACTTTCCATGTTTGTCTCAATAAAGCATTAATAAACACTTTCCATGTTTGTCTCAGGTCATTTTGTATTTGTAACAGCTACTCTGATTAATATCACAGCATTATTTCAAAATTGGTTTTAAATGAGTAAAGTTAACGAGTGGTGTTTTGGGGAGATATTATTTGCTTTAAAAGAGAAGTAACATGAGCAAACTGGAGAAAACGAGTTATACCGGATGAGAAAACAACAATGGTGAGCTGTTAGATCTGCTGCTTATCATACCAGTGGGTTTACTATGCAGCCTATGAAATCACAAGGACAGAGCAAGGATAACATCTAAATGAAACAATCTTAAAATGGTATAACAAAAGCAGTTGTAAAATATGTAGTAAGGGATACAGATCTTAGGTTGGTCTAACATTAATCATGTTTTAGCATTAAAGGAATAGCTATTTTAAAATTATTTGTCCTTTTGTATTGCAAGTCTGCATGTGTTAGGTTTCAGAGTAACAGCCGTGTTAGTCTGTATTCGCAAAAAGAAAAGGAGTACTTGTGGCACCTTAGAGACTAACCAATTTACTTGAGCATAAGCTTTCGTGAGCTACAGCTCACTTCATCGGATGCATACTGTGGAAAGTGTAGAAGATCTTTTTATACACACAAAGCATGAAAAAATACCTCCCCCCACCACACTCTCCTGCTGGTAATAGCTTATCTAAAGTGATCACTCTCCTTACAATGTGTATGATAATCAAGGTGGGACATTTCCAGCACAAATCCAGGGTTTAACAAGAACGTCGGGGGGGGGGGGGAGGGAGGGGGTAGGAAAAAACAAGGGGAAATAGGCTTGAATAGAGACTGGAGGGGCTAAGTCATTATGCAGGGTAACCTAAGTTAATTGTATCTAATTTGCAAATGAATTCCAATTCAGCAGTCTCTCACTGGAGTCTGGATTTGAAGTTTTTTTGTTGTAATATCGCAACTTTCATGTCTGTAATCGCGTGACCAGAGAGATTGAAGCGTTCTCTGACTGGTTTATGAATGTTATAATTCTTGACATCTGATTTGTGTCCAATTATTCTTTTACGTAGAGACTGTCCAGTTTGACCAATGTACATGGCAGAGGGGCATTGCTGGCCCATGATGGTATATATCACATTGGTGGATGTGCAGGTGAACGAGCCTCTGATAGTGTGGCTGATGTTATTAGGCCCTGTGATGGTGTCCCCTGAATAGATATGTGGGCACAGTTAGCAATGGGCTTTGTTGCAAGGATAGGTTCCTGGGTTAGTGGTTCTGTTGTGTGGTATGTGGTTGCTGGTGAGTATTTGCTTCAGGTTGGCGGGCTGTCTGTAGGCAAGGACTGGCCTGTCTCCCAAGATTTGTGAGAGTGTTGGGTCGTCTTTCAGGATAGGTTATAGATCCTTAATAATGCATTGGAGGGGTTTTAGTTGGGGGCTGAAGGTGACGGCTAGTGGCGTTCTGTTATTTTCTTTGTTAGGCCTGTCCTGTAGTAGGTGACTTCTGGGAACTCTTCTGGCTCCATCAATCTGTCTCTTCACTTCCGCAGGTGGGTATTGTAGTTGTAAGAATGCTTGATAGAGATCTTGTAGGTGTTTGTCTCTGTCTGAGGGGTTGGAGCAAATGCGGTTGTATCGCAGAGCTTGGCTGTGTGTGTGTGTGTGGGGGGGGGGGAGACCTGGATTTGTGCTGGAAATGGCCCAACTTGATTATCATACACATTGTAAGGAGAGTGATCACTTTAGATAAGCTATTACCAGCAGGAGAGTGGGGTGGGGGGAGGTATTTTTTCATGCTTTGTGTGTATAAAAGTATCTTCTACACTTTCCATAGTATGCATCCGATGAAGTGAGCTGTAGCTCACGAAAGCTTATGCTCAAATAAATTGGTTAGTCTCTAAGGTGCCACAAGTACTCCTTTTCTTCATGTGTTAGACAATTCACTCAATACAAATGAAAACTAAAGAAAAACATGCTGAAGAAAAGAAATCAATTTTATATTTAAGAAGTGTTTTATGTATATCACCAAGTTAAGAACAATGGGGTATTTCTGCATACTTACACATGCACATAAGGGCCATGAAGAAACACAAGCCAGATTAATCCCATGGGCTATTGAGCTAGTTATCGGAATAACTGGGTGACATCCTATATCCTTTGTAATGCATGAGTTCAGACTAGATGATCAGAACAGTCCCTACAGATCCCAGATTAAAATCTGGGAACTATAAAGCCATCCTTAATCTACAGGAACACTTTCAACACATAGTCCACCGTAAACGTTGTGTAATTAAAATCACATCGAAAGGCAACAGGTTCTTACCTTTGATATCTAAAACTAATGTTGGCTTCATTTTGCTATGGATCCTGCCATCAGGATTAACACACCAATATTGCTTGTCTTCATTCTCCTCGAGTGATAGGCCTAGCTTAGAGCCAGGAGTTATAAGGTTTCCTACAATTGTCAAGCAGCAATCCTCAGTCATCTATATAATTGAAAAGACAACAGCAGTCAGTCTTTAGTGTAGCTGTAGAAACAATATCTGTACCCCAGGTTTTCTGGTCACGGATGGAGGGCATAGGTAGGAGATTGTGGTTCTTGTCATCACTCCCCCTCTGTTGGTAATGGAAAGGGTTTCACCCACATTCGACTCTAGACTACTTATTTTCCCCACGATCCTCTTTCTGATGGCAACCTCCATTGTGATCCTTTTCTTTTTACTATAGAGGGCTAGCAAAACAGATTCATTTGAGAGAAACATTGAAGCTGTTTTAGACTAAGCAAAGGGATTTTTGAAAAAGGGCTACCACAATTCTTTTTGGGGTGTGACCTCTAAAGTTCTCCATTTTTACCAGCCTCTGGGTACAGCAGCACTTTTACAATATTCCTTCCCCACCCACTATATCACCAGCATTTGCATTACTGGCCACAAGACAATACTACGCAATAACAATGCCAAATACAATACATGATGTTATTTTGTATAAACAATGATTTCCAAAATTGAAGGTTTCAGAGTAACAGCCGTGTTAGTCTGTATTCGCAAAAAGAAAAGGAGTACTTGTGGCACCTTAGAGACTAACCAATTTATTTGAGCATGAGCTTTCGTGAGCTACAGCTCAGTGAGCTGTAGCTCACGAAAGCTCATGCTCAAATAAATTGGTTAGTCTCTAAGGTGCCACAAGTACTCCTTTTCTTTTTCCAAAATTGAAGATTACCATAAGACTCCTGTAGATAGCAAATTACTTAACAAGTGGTCCTGACAACATGGATTACAAGATACTTTACTTTCAGAAGCTAAGAACAAATTGCAAGTCTTGGAATATATTTACTTCATTCTGTATCTCTAAACTTCTCACCTGTACTCTAATCTACTAATTTCTTCCTGATAGGCTAGCAAAGATTCAACGCTCACACAGAAGTTGTACTAAACCACCATTTCTTTCTCTCTACTCTGCCAGTCAGGGAGTGGGTCTGTAAAATACTCCCCTGCTCCCTCCAGTTACTGTGGAACGAGTCTTATGGCAACTCACCAGTTGTCACTTAGCTAGCTAGGAAAGTTCTCAGCTGCTTCCTGGATGCCTAGGGCATGGCTCGTTATTTTGACTCAGGGCATAAGGCAACCTGGCTTTACTGGAACTCAGAAACAGTTGTAATAAAGTCTTTTTTTATCCTCCTTTGTTTTTCAATATACACGTGTCAGAGCACACTGGCAGTGTGGTATAAAGCTTTCGTTTGCACTTCTAAAGAGCAATGGCATAACTCAGTCATGGTCCAGTCATTATTGCAAGTAATGTAGCCATCCTAAGCTTCTGCTAGTTAACCTACACGACTATAGTACAGCACAAGCTGCATCCCCATGAATTCTCTGTGCACCATAAGTTTTATTTAGAATAAAGCAAATGGGTTGATTATGTTGAAATGAGAGGACTGAGATAACACCCATCCATAGCCATATTACAACACTGCCCAAGTAGTAATATGTTCAGTTTGAGACAGAACTAACGTCATGAGGAAAGTATTTTGCACGTGATGTTGTTAAAGCTGTTTGCTCACTTGGCCTCATTTTTACAGTCTATTTAATTCCTTTTTACGAGAGCGTCTATTCTGTGCATGTCCAAACAGTACCTCAGTAAATTGAAAAGAGGAAGATTTGTCCCTCAAGCATAATTGACACAGTTATGGAGAGAAAACGCTCCCTTTACAAAATGGCTCTATTGAATTTATACAACGTTATGAAATAGGTCACATGATTCTTTGCACTCAAGCAGATTCACCGTATTAATTTTATTCACTTTAGACCCCAATTCCTGCAAGACTAACGCACATATTTTACTTCATGCACTATGAGTAATGCCACTGACCTCCATGGCACTACTTATAGCGCACAAAGTTAAGCACATGCTTAAGTCCGTGGAGGGATCAAGGCCTTAGTCAGAAGCCAAGTCTATAGTAATACTTTGCATCAGCAAGAAGATTTTTACGGCTTTTCCATTTCATCTTGCTGGAATGCCAAATACCTTAACCCCTGAGTGTAACCTTCAACACAATACTGTTCAAATACTGAATTCTGCAAACAATTTTAATAAAGGTGTAGTTGAAAAGGGAAGTTATCAGGAAGGTCCATATTTTAAAAGCTTTTCCTGTTTTGATATTTTAATTGACATTTTTATGGAGGGAGAAGGAGGACACGGACAGAGGGAAAACAATGCATAAGGACATGATGTTATGGACTCAATTGTATGTATGACCCTAATGTTCTTCAACAAGCAGAAACACTCAAATCAAACATGTTGGACTCAAATATCTAGTGTGTTTTAACTCAGTTAAAGAAAAATGGAAAATACACTTTTCGTTATAAGATGTTATATAATCAAAAAAAGGATGAGTTTGAGGAAAACAAATAAAAATTATGTTTCAGGTGAACTGGAGAAGAGTGAGACATGGCAAACAAAGAAGAAAGGAAGACACAGCAGAAATTAATTTTAGAAAGTCAAGAGTACATGGTGTGTTTGTTTAACTAACTAAACTAAACTAACGTTCAATGGGAACTTTTTACTATTGAAGTAAGCAAAATATTTTTAAATGAAACAAATGTTCAATGCTTCTGTCAAGCCTGAAAAGGATTCTGAATCACAAAATCTTACCAGATGTAATTATTTTCTTCAAGAAACATCAGTCTGGTGCTTAAAAACAATATCAATCAACTAAATTTAAACCTCACCCTGCATTTGATGAATCCGTCTTGATAAACCCAGATCTGGTCATCTGATCTACTATCTTCTGTAACCTGTATTCTGAGAAGACTCAAATCATCCACATTTCCATCAGCTGACATGAACTTTCCAGTTTCCTTGTTTCGAAGTCTGAAGTACACACGTTTCTATGAAAACAACACAGCTCTTTAGCTAAATTCTCGAATGCAGGAACACATAGTGCTACTCAGTGGTGCACTTGGGAATCTTTGTCCCTTAGGCTTTGGATTTCCTCTGAGGGCATTTAAAAAAAAAAAAAAAAACATTTCTAAGGAAAACCAGATTCTGAAAGTTCTCTATCTGCACCAGTACCTTAGATAGGGCAATCAAAATGCACTTATCCTCATTCTGCATAATGCTAAGCAGTTCAGAAGCAGGCCTGAACAAGGACAGTTCTAGGAGAGGGACCCAATACATTAATTATAGGTACCGGGCACTTCTTTAATTTCTAGCCCAGTTCTAATAATTAAAAACATAAGTGATTCATGAACTGCAGAAAGTTATTTCTCAATAAAAACTGGTTCAGTATGCAACACGGATGTTAGCACATGACAGAATAGTCTGAGCACGAGAATCTAAGCAGTTACGGCACTTGCCCTCAAATTAGCCAATACTTCTAAAAAAAATCAAAAACAAAAAACAACATGACAGTACTCTATACATTATATTCACAAATCAATTTGTGCATTTAAGAGATTATTATATAAATAGAGAATGGATTTTTTTTTAATGTCTACACAGATGAAAGTGCCTCTGGCTAGTATCCAAAAAACTAACAGCTTCATTTCCCAAATTTCTGAGACTAGCACATGACAATACAGATATCAGAATGCTTGTGACCAGAAGGAAGTTAAGAATCCTGACTGGTTGTTGTAATTCAGTCAAAGTAAATTGCTCAAAAATAACATATTTAGTTTAATGTGTGCATAGTAGACAATTCAGATTTTGGGAGATAGTATTGTGAAGCCAAATGGCACAACCAGCATCAGCATTATTGAAGACAATATTTTGGAGAGAACCTCTTTCCGTGTTCACTATTTTTGCTGTTTAATGTTACCTTTGACTGTGTAGTACCAGAAACAATTACTGACTATGAGATAAACTTGGCAATAAAAAATACAGGAAGTCTATAAAGAGGATCTCATGCAAACTCTCAGGCCCCAAAGTAGACCACAGCCTCTCTCACCTGTAATAAAGGTCGTAGAGAACCTATCTTATGACAGCCACTTAATTTACACCAGTCTGGGATTTCATTTGGTGACAATAACATCTGACGCCCTCTGTAATTACTGTATTCATAGATTATCCACCTGAAAAAACAAAATATACTTTCATGTTTAACAACTGTCAAGCATCATCGGTCTTAAAATGTCCATTAAATACTGCTTCTGAAATTGTAAGAAGTGATATTTTAGATAGAAATTTGTGTCACGAAAAAGTAGTGCTTAAGTTAGTAGTGCTAATAACCAGGACTATCTTTCTTTTTAAGTGGTCTCCAAAATAATAAAATTATCTCCTGATTTCGGGCATTAGTAGATTTGTGCTCAAATTTTAAAATATTTCCATTAATAAATCACACCAAAAAGAAATAAAGCATTTTCATAGGTTAGAGAGAGCATGAAGTATAATATTTTTATGTATAATGACACCATTTCAGGAAAAAAACAGTGTGGTCAACCAAAATGGGCATGTAAATATGCTGCAAAATCAGTCGTGTTGTGTACCTTTTTACTGGCTTGCAGAAACTCCCTATCCATAACACACGCAGGTGAGAACTGCTAGCAGAGGGCTTTGGGTTAAATAGGGACAACTGCACTATGGGAGAGTTGTAAGCACGAACACACGTCTGTCACCTATGTCCTATCCTAGGATGTCCCTCTCCAGGATTTTTTTTTTTTTGGGGCAGGGGAAAGGTGGAAAGTAGGAGTGTGCGAGGATTGGTATGGAAGAGTTCTGCCTGGCACTCTACAGAATGTGCACAGATTTTCTGGCAGCCTTATATTTGCAGGATCCTGCCAGAATTTGCCCCTGTGGCTGCAAAAATACTGTATCAGACAAAATAGGAGGGATGAATGTGTTCATTGTTTTTTATTACTCTGAAATGGGCCACAGTGCAGGGCAGTTGTCTAGTTCCCTTTCATGTACGCAAGTCCCTGCACTCTGATTAGCTGGGAGCATGAGATAGACATACATTTTCAATACCCTTACAGTGATTATGCAAATTTCTCTGTACCATCTGCCCTAAAATCTCTCCCCTGTGACTGGCTCCTCAGTAGTCCCCCAGAACATGCCTACAATAAATATGGTCGCTGCCTTAATTTCTAAGCTCCTCCCCAGCCCATCACCCATCTACCCCAGATAATTTAATTTTAAAATGAACCACTCTGATGTCTAGTCTACACTAGGAGTTTACATCGGTATAGCTACATCTCTCAGGGTGTGAAAAATCCAGAGCCCTGAGAGAGGTAGCTATGCCGACCTAACTCCTGGTGTAGATAGCGCTAAGTCAATGGAAGAATTCTGCTGTCCACCTAGCTGCCGTCTCTCAGGGAGATGGATTACCTATGCCGGGGGAGAACCCTGACATCGGCATAGGTAGTGTCTGCATGGAAGCACTATAGCAGCTGCAGCTGTAATATTTAAAGTGTAGTCATACCCTTTTATGGAGAAAAGGAAGGCTAAGCCTCTGTTCAAGGGGCAAGGAGGAGCGGGGGACTGAGATATTGAGAAACCTGGCGTTGGTGGAAGGGGGTTCAGCAGCTGACACAGCCATTTATACAATGTATGGCACATGGATAGGAAATGCTGAGGGCTGTGAACATGCAGAACAAAGGGATTTAAGTAACAGAGTAGGGAGCACATGTATAATTGAGGGTATACTTCCACTAACTGAACAACCACCACATCCTTCGCCAAGAAACAAATTGGCCTTTGGCCTCAGACTAGGTCTTCTAAATTAAAAGCTAGTAATATGTTTTAGGCAAGTAATTTGGAGGTGGCATTTACATTAGGCAGGCACTAGAGAAGTAGTCTAATTGTGCTCACTTTCACACATCAAAGGATGACACTTCAAACCACCTCAAGTCACCTCCTAATTTTGTGTGAGTGCAAATTTTGCACATACAATTGATCTGTGTGTGTGTTAAATTAGAGAACTCAATTTTTTTTAAAGTGGCCTAAGCCTTTTACCTTAAATTGACTAAAGAAATGAAATTCATAACTAAGGAGCTGATCCTACTACTGCTAAAGTCAATGCGTGTTTTGCCACCAACTTCAGTAGAAGCAGGCTAATAATAAAAGTTGTCATTTATTCTTACCTTATCCATAGTGCCTAGATAACACAGTAAATACAGGAGACTTACTGAAACCATTCCCTGTGCATTGAGATAAGAATAGTACATCCCATTCATAAAAGCTATGAACAATACTGCACCGTGGAAGCCTTAACTCAGATTTGGTTTGATCTCATGGATTTGTTAGACTGCTATGTAAGGCCCTCTTCCTGCAAGCTGACTTTGATGGGGCTTCACATATCAGCTTCCAGGATCATCAGGGACTAAGGTTGTATATTATTTTAAAACCAGATTATAGTAGTTTGGGACCCTCCTTCCAAATGACATCATGGTATCCTCTTGCACTGAGGATACCTCTCCAGGTGAGGGGACCCCTGTTATTAGAAAGAGACAGATAATAGTAATGGCGGATTCAATTATTAGGAATATAGATAGTTGGGTTTGTGATGACTGGGAGAACTGCATGCCGAATTGCCTGCTGGGCGCAAAGGTTGCAGACCTCTCGAGACATCTAGACAGGCTTATGTGCAGTGCTGGGGAGGAGCCAGTGGTTGTTGTATACATAGGTACCAATAAGCTGGGACAGGCGTCCCCAACGCAGTGCCCGCGGGTGCCATGGCGCCCACCGGGGCATTTTTGTGTGCCCGTAGGACACCCCGCCACCGAAATGCTGCCGAGAAACGTTGACGTTTCTCAGCGGCATTTCAGCGGTGACACTTCTTCCCGCTGCTGCATTTTGGCGGTGGGTGTGGGCGCCCACCACAGTCTTCTGGGAATAGCAATTTGCTATTCCCACAAGAAAGGTTGGGGACCACTGACCTAGGAACTGGTAGGAGAGAGACCCTGGAGGACAAATTTAAGCAGCTGGTGAAGAGATTTAAGTCCAGGACCTCCATGGCAGCATTCTCTGAAATGTTTCCAGTTCCACATACAGGGCCAGTTAGACAGGCAGAACTGTAGGGTCCCAATGCATGGATGAGACGGTGGCATTTGGAGGAGGGATGGAGGTTAATTAGGAATTGGGGAACTTTTTGGGAAAAAGAGGAGTCTATACAGGAAGGATGGGCTCCCCCTAAACCAAAACAGAACCAGATTGCTGGCATGTAAAATTTAAAAAAGTCATAGAGGAGTTAATTTTTAAGCTAAGGGCTGGGGGGAAGTCGACAGGTATGGAGGAGCATGTAGTTCAGACAGACACATCCCTTAGGGGAAGATTTATTAAAGGGAATACTCTATATCCTAGTAAAGAGGAGAGAATAGATGTTGAAAAACTACAAGTAGGAACGGAAGAGGAACAGTCAAATGAAAAAAAGTCCCATTCAATTATATCACATGAAGGTAGACAACTGAATACTGACAAATTTTACAAGTGCTTATATACAAATGATAAAAGTCTCAATACTAAGATGCAGGAATTTGAATGCCTTTATTAAATGAGGATATTGATATAATAGGCAAAACTTGGTGAAATGATGACAATCAATGGGACATGGTAATACAAAGATACAAAATATACAGGAATGAGAGTAGGTCATGCTGCTGGAGTGGCACTATATGCGAAAGAAAGCACAAAGTCAAATATAGTAAAAATCTTAAATGACTCAAACTGTACCATAAAATCTCTATGGATAGAAACCCCATGCTTCAATCGTAACAGCATAGAAGTAGGAATATACTATTGACCACCTGACCAGGATGGTGACGGTGATTGTGAACTACTTGGGGAGATCAGAGAGGCTACAAAAACAGAAAAACCAGCAATAAAGGGGAATTTCAATTATCCCCATACTGACTGAGAATAGGTCTCCTCAGAGATAAAATTTCTGGACATCATTAATGACTATTTCTTAGAGCAGCTAGTCCTGGAACCCAAAAGGGGGCAGTCAATTCATGACTTAGTCCTAAGTGGCGCAAAGAATCTCGTCCAAGAGATAAATATTGCTGAACCACTCAGTAATAGCAATCAAAATGTAATTAAATTTAACATCCTTGTAGGGGGAAAAATACCAAACAAACCCATCACAGTAGCATTTATCTTCAAAAAGAGGAACTGCACAAAAATGAGGCCGCTAGTTAAACAGAAATGAAAAGGAGCAGTCACAGGAGTGATATGTCTGCAAGCTCCATGGAAACTTTAAAAACACCATAATACGTGCTCAAACTATCTGTATACCCCAAATAAAAAATACAAAATAGAAAGAGGACCAAAAACATGCCACCAGGGCTAAACAGAGTCAAAGAGGTACTTAAGAGACAAAAAGACATCTTTTAAAATTTAGAAGTCAAATCCTACTGAAGAAAATAGAAAGGAACAAACTCCAGCAAGTAAAGTGTACAGGTATAATTAGTCAGGCCAAAAAAGAATTTGAAGAACAACTAGCAAAAGACATGAAAACTAAAAGCAAGATTTTATTTTAAAGTACATCAGAAGCAGGAAGTCTGCTAAACAATCAGTGAGGACACTGGAAGATTGAGGTGCTAAAGAAGCACTTAAGAAGGACAAGGTCGAGTTGCAGAGAATCTAAATTAATTCTTTGCATTAGTCTTCGCTAACTGGTATATAACCTACCGCTTAAACCATCTTCTGTACCAGATGACTGGAGAGCAGTTAATGCAATGCCAGTTTTAAAAATATGTTCCCGAGGTGATCCTGGTAATGACAGGTCGGTACGGCTAACTTCTGTACCAGGCAAACTGTGGTGCAGGGTTTGCAGTGAATGCGGATGATCAAGGTGCTCGTTATGGAGAACCAGTCTGCTGACAGAAAGCTCGTGAAGAGACAGAGTCTAGTCTTGCCCCATAAATTTTACCGTTTCTGTGGGTGACAAAACTGACTTGTCTTTGTGTAAGCAGTGTCAGGATGAGCTCCACCCTGACATCTGGTGGTGAGGTGTGGCAAGTTGTGGAAAAGAACTTCAGGGGCCGATCTCATTTGCATAGGCACACCCACCCCGCCTAGAATGAGGCCATAGCTGCCCAAATGGTCACTTTGGCTGCTGTGGGATCCCCACTGTCTC